ATATAAAATTCTTATAAGTCGAGTCAAAAAATTGGTAACTTTATTCAGTCAAAGTGTGTTGTTATCCAAAGAAATGGAAGATGCTCAGCTAAAAGATCACATTACAAGGCCGTTAGAACTTGTGAAACCGGGTGATACTCGTTGTTTTGGAGAGTATTTAATGATTAATAGAGTGTGTCTTCTTGCAAAATATATAAACACCGCAATTGAAAAAAAAGCCAATGAAATTTCAAATTTAGTTTAAAAAACTATTTTTTTACAAACATATGAACTTTCCTTAAATGATATTGTTGATATGAGAAATTATATCGATATTTCGAAATACATCAATTTCATAATAAATAGATTTAGCTCTGATTCTTATCCAACACTTTCTCGGGTTATTTATACAGTTGTCCATTTAATCACTTTATTAAAGAATCGATATAATATAATTGAAGATGATGACACTAAAGCAACCGATCTAGATTATCCAGCTCGTATTTTAAGACAAACACGAGATAGTTGTAATTTGAATGATCATATTAACTTCGCCTATGTAAAAACCCAATCAAATGAACGGCATTATTTTTACGATGAAGTGGAAACATTTCCAATTGTTGGATCAACGACCAATGGATTTGTATCTGAACAACACTTACAACAAAGTAGTTTGCCAAAATCCAATTATGGGTTTTGTGATTTTCAGATGGAAACTCCTAACCATGCACTTAAATTGTACATAATTAACATTGTTGACCAAATCATCGAGCGTTTTCTTGGAACCAAAAGAAATATAATGAAAGACCCCGTTTACATTTTATCTGCGCTATTAAACCCATGTTATAAAATTCGTGGGTTTCAATCATTTGATGTGAATATGTCTAGATTAAGAGTCTCTTTTGGAGAAGTTCAATATGAAACACTTTTATTAAACGAGGTGGTGTAATTGAATAAAGACAGACTTATTACCAAGGAACGTGCTTCTCAAACAACACACTCTCTTGAAAACATTTTTCAGTTTAGTAGTGAAAATGATGATGAAATGGTGTATTACAATGAAAAAGATTTGTGCCTTGAAGCCAAAAAAGAGATAAATACAGACTTGCAAATACCAATACTCAACAAAAACAGTCTTGATCCGAACGCAAAAAATCCTCTTGTGTGGTGGAGAAACAACACAAAATCGTTTCCACTTTTAACCAGACTTGTTAATAAATATCTTTGTCTTCTCGCTTCATCATCGTCATCTGAGCGATTGTTTTCTCAGTGCTCTCTGATCAAAACAAAACGAAGATGTTCATTAACCCCGATACACTTGGAAGAGCTGGTTTTTCTTCACGAATTTGGCAAAAATTTTAATCTTTATGATCTAGACTTAAACAATAAAGACCCACCGATTATTAATTAAAACTATTCATTGAAATTTGAACTATATTTTGTTAATTTGAATACATAATAATAACATTAAATTTGATAATCAGTTTGTTTAAAGATTATGATTATTATTAATTATATGAGCATTCAGATTTGCGATAAAATAACAAAAATTTAATAAGTCAAACAATACACAATTACCAAAGTATTAAATATAAAATTGTGTTTTTTGATATAATTAAAACTTATGGTCATTGGTATTATTTGTTTTTTCATTGTTTTTTGTATTTATATTTTTTTTCAAAATATGCATTTTTGGTCAAATTTTGTTTTTTTTATCAAAAACTAAAAAAATTCAAAGTTTTGGGTTTTTTTCTTTATCTTTTTCAAATTTGATTTTGTTTTACAGTTTATGATTATGTTTCTTAATAATTGTGTTTAAATAAATTAATCCCAAAAGTGGAGATAAAGCTATTACAAATAATTAAATTCTTAAATGTGTTTTTTTTCAGTTTGAAAAAAATAGAAAAAAACTTCAGTTCACAAACTGCGAAGCACTAATCTGTATCTGTATTTTCATTTTCTGTTTTATAATAATAAATATAAATAATGAAAATTATTTTAACAAATTAATTTGAAAAACAATTATCAGTTTTATTTCAATTTACAAATTGTTTTTTTAAACATTTTGTTGTTTTTAATTTTAGAAAAGTGTTTTTTTACAATTTTAAATTCTGTTATGGAAACATCAATATTACAAACTTAAAAAATGAGCCTTTCTTTAATACAAAAATATGGAATTTATTATAAAAAAGATTCAAAACTACTTTTGATTGGAAAATGATTCGTCTTTTCAAAAAGAGTATTTAAACTTATAAAACTGGTATTTATATATGTGTGAACAAATGAGGAGGTGATATATAAATTATGGCGAGAAAGTGTTGATTTTACATTGTGAGGAGTGGAAGGAGTGCGTGGATGGTTTTGACAATAACAAATAAAAATGTGTTTTAATATTTTGTACCAAAAACGTGTCATATTTAATACGTTACAACTTCAAAACAAAACAGACTAAAGCGACTTTCCTCTTTTAATTGAATCAAACTGGACAGTCCGTGTGCTTCATATTGAAGCGGTAAAAGCTGCGTTAGACTTACAGGGAGGATAAAAACCCGCTTCCGTCTTTTTAACCGCTTCCTATCGATTTAATAGTTATAAATAATAACATTATAATAAAAAGTATGATACTAATTACCACCTCGGACAGAAAAAGTCTCCACGATGCATATTCAGCCTTCCTGGTAAACAGT